TAATTTTAATAAGATAAATAAATGTCCACTTTGCTCCCAGGCTCATACATTATATAAATGTGAATCCTTTAGAAACTTAACTATAGAGGATCGCATAAAAAAAGGCAAATGGTTACAATGTTTGTCTTAACTGCCTGCGCGTCGGACATTCTGCTAAGCAGTGTAAACTCACACATTGCAAATATTGCAAAACAAAGCACAATACGCTTTTGTATTTAGAATCTAGTGAATCCAAACCATTTGCTAACCCATTGCCTTCTGCTATGTCTTCTGCTTTGCCTTTTGCGTCAAATATCGCACTATCAGCCAATTCCTTGCAGCTTGCTACTTTTGCGCATGTTTTACTGTCCACAGCTATGGTGAACGTCACCAGCGGGTTGGGTAAGAAATACACTGCGCGGCTACTGCTGGACAACGGTAGTACCGCCAACTTTGTTGCACAGAGACTATCAGAGAAACTGGGTTTGTTACATCGCGGTACGAGCACCAAGGTAATGGGTATTAATAATCACATATCCACTAGTACACAGTCTTGTCACCTCACAATTGAGTCTTTACGCTGTGCCTTTACTGTCGATATCGAGTGTCATATTTTACCTGAAATTACAAAGTTTCTACCGTCTTTATTCGTGCATATAAATCACGTCCATATTCCTTCATCTCTTACACTAGCAGACCCGAACTTTAATGTTCCGTCGGTCGTAGACATCCTGGTAGGGGCTGAGGTGTTTTGGAATGTCTTAGGAAGCAGAACCATAGATCTAATCTAATTTCCCTAAGGAAACATCTACCTAAATTGTGCGAAACTGGATTTGGATGGCTTAACTCCGGTAGTATTTCACATCAATCTAGTTCTGTTTCATCACTCTATTGCCATCATTCCAACGTCACTGCAGACCTAACTCAATTTTGGGAGCTTGACAACGTGTCGTCAAAACATTCTCTTGAAGAAAGAGTCTGTGAACAACTATTTGCCCAAACCACCGTTCGTAAAAATGATGGTAGGTTTGTCGTGACGATGCCCTTAAAAGAGGACCCTAGCACTTTAGGGCATTCGTATGAAAACGCAAAAAAATCATTTTCTATCCCTGGAGCGGCGATTTAAGCGCGATCCTTCATTTAAAACTAAATATTGTGAATTTATGAGAGAATATGAGCATTTAGGTCATATGACTTTAGACTCTGACTGTACTTCTACGCCTGAAAACTCCGTGATCACATATTTCATTCCACATCATGGAGTTATTCGTAGCTCTGGTACCACTACTCAACTACGCGTAGTGTTCGACGCATCAGCCTCTGCCAGTTCGGGCGTGTCTCTTAATGACATACAGATGGTCGGTCCCGTAGTGCAAGACGATCTGTTTTCCATTTTAATACGTTTTCGTCAACATAGATACGTGGTCTCAGGTGATGTAGAGAAAATGTATAGAGCCATTGAGCTAAGTCCAGTCCAACGTCCTCTATAAAAATTATTTTTCGGTTTGATCCTTCAGAACCTCTTAGAACCTATACATTAAATACGGTCACCTATGGTACCGCTTCTGCTCCTTACTTAGCCACGAAATGCCTGGTAGGTCTGGCTGATAACATTGAGGATAGTCAGGTCCAGCGGGCCATACGACGTGACTTCTACGTGGATGACTATTTGAGCGGTGAAAACACCGTAGCTGATACTGTAGCAATTGCAAAACGGGTACAATCGGTTCTATCTTCTGCTAAATTTAACTTACGCAAATGGCGATCAAATACCATCCTCAAGTTATAAATCAAATTATAAACAGTAACGAATCGTATAATACTCATACGTTGCATTTTTATGAGCAGGGTTTAAATTCATCTCAATCTAAAAATTTAGGTCTTTATTGGGCCTACGATTCTGATTCCCTTACTTATACTATTAACATAAAGTCAACCACTAAAGTCACTAAACGTCACGTCCTCTCAGTTATGAGTCAGATCTTTGACTCATTAGGCCTCGCAGGTCCGTGCGTTGTCGAAGCGAAAATAGTCATGCAGCGTTTATGGTTACACAACTATGACTGGGACGACGAAGTATCGCTCGAGGTCAGAAACCTTTGGTCGACATTCCAAAATACAATAACATCTTTAAATATTAAGATTCCTCGTTAGGTTTTGCGTGAAGACTCTAGAGCATGCACCTCACCGATACGTCCGAAAAAGCTTATGGCGCATGTGTGTACATTCGGTCATGCAGTAACAGTAAATCTAAATTGACGTAAAACTTCTCGTTTCTAAAAATCGTATAGCGCCCATCAAGCCGTCAACAATACCAAGGCTTGAACTGTGTGGAGCTTTGTTAGGTGCCAGGCTGTGTATAAAGTTCAGGAAGCGCTAACTTTACCCATTCACCGATGTAGATTCTGGTGTGACTCAACCATAGTCTTGGGTTGGCTCTTACTCCATCCAACCAATTAAAACCTTTTGTGAGAAATAGAGTCAACGAGATACAGGAGAGCACTTGTGGTCATACCTGGAGCTACGTACCGTCGAAGGACAACCCGGCGGATTTTGTTTCCCGTGGTCTTAACGCTGACGTTATTAAGGACACACCTCTCTGGTGGTCCGGAACCCCTTTTCTGTTGCGTAATGAAAATGAGTGGCCTAAAATGCCAAACACAGAGAAACATGATTTGCCGGATGTAGTGACTCATTTCACATGTAGTGATAGCGACCATCATGTTGTTAGTAATCATTCACATTCAACCATATATTCATCTATCATTCATCGCTTATTAGAAAAATATTCTAGTTTTCCAAAAATTCAAAGGTGTTTGCATATGTACAAAGATTTATATATAATCTAAAAAATAAAGATAAATTGTGTGGCGTTTTCCGTAACAGAACTCCAAGATTCGTATAATGTAATAATACATTATTCACAATTAGAAATGTTTTCTGAAGAATATTATCTTTTAAAATCTAAACAAAAATTGCCACGCAATAGTAGATTGCTTTCTTTGACTCCGTTCATTGACGATCATAACCTCATCCGCGTGGGCGGGAGCTCGATAACTCCCCCTACGATTTCAGTGTAAAACATCCCATAATAATATGTAGTAAGCACATACTTACTAAGCTTATATTTCAAATGAAACATTTAGAGCTACTACATGCCGGTCCTCAATTACTATTGTCACATATAAGGCAGACTTATTGGCCTATAGGTGGTAGAAAACTTTCCAGAAATGTCGTGAATAAATGCCTTAAGTGTTTCAGACATAAGACTCAAAGCGTTCAGCCTATAATGGGTCAACTACCTCAGTCAAGAACTCATCTTGAATTTCCATTTTTAAATTGTTATGTTGACTACGCTGGGCCGGTATTGGTGGCCGATCGCAGAGGTCGCGGCTGCAAACTTACAAAATCTTATATATGCATTTTTGTTTGCTCTGCAGTGAAAGCCGTACATTTGGAGCTCGTCACTGACCTCACCTCTGAGGCTTACATGGCCGCTCTAAATCGTTTCTTGGCGCGTCGAGGCAAGCCTCAAAGCATTACGTCTGATAACGGGACAAAGAGGCACAACAAATACGGAGAAAGCATATCGGGTTCTTGCACTCATCGAGTGTTGCACCTGAAATAGCACAACAGGGTATCGAATTTATTTTCACGCCTGCTTACAGCCCACATTTTAATTCACTAGCTGAGGCTGCTGTTAAATCTTGCAAGCATCATTTAAAAAACTCTTAAAGCTTACCCATTTTACTTTGAGCAGAGGGCTACTTGTCTTACGCACATAGAGGCGGTCTTGAATTCGCGCCCTCTTACTCCTCTCTCTTCAGACCCTAACGATTTTTCGGCACTTTCCTTTTTGATGGAGAACTCTTATAGTGATGATGCAAAACCTGGAGGAGAAATAATCAGATAGATTTCTGCCTCTCTCTGCTGCAGGCCAAATCCAAGTGGTTTCATTCCAGAGGTGAAGTGAAGCCGGGGTCTTTAGTTCTTATCAAGGACAAAACAACACCACCGCTGCTCTGGTCCCTGGGCCGGGTCATGACGACCTATCCCGGCGTAGACGGAGTCACGCGAGTGGCTGAGTTGAAGACGAAGCGAGGTATCATTCGTCGTGCTGTCAACTGCATCTGCCCTCTACCAATTGAAGATTGAAGACGTCTCTTCAACCCGGGGAATATGTCGGCGCACGTCATCGCGCCTCGGCCAAAATGATGGAAGCGTGGGAGCGCGGACCGGTCGCTGACTTCTGCTTTGTGCGAACGGTGCAACGGGCACCTTATTTTTCAATTTATAATATGTTTGTTTAGAGGTTTTACGGCATTAAACCTATTGTTAATACAGTCCACTCATTTTATTTCTAAAGTCCCGATAAGGCCTAAACACTTTTTATATTTGAAAGATGGTGCGAGTAATGTGTCTCCCCAGCGCTGCCCAGTCGAGTTGAATCGATTGAGCTCTCGGTCGAAGTTGAACTTACCTAGTCGGACAATTTGTCTTAGGTAAACATACTCGTTGACATCTCCAAGCGTAGTGCTCCCAATAACTACCGGCATAGGTGTGATAAGGAGCTTACATGTTTACAATTTATTTTGAATTGAATTCATTTCAAATTAATAAATTTGTAAAACTTGAAAAAGTTGAAGATAGCACAAAAAATTGATTTGTAGATAGCGGTAACTCCATAGAAAACTATAATACACAATAGAATGGCTGTCAACCTTATTTTGTACGAGGATAGGCGTCGCCGGGAGCACACATATAAACAATTACAAACCCGATTCGCTGTGTTGACAGACGGATTTTAATACAAATTTGTTTGTAAATAGCGTGCAATTTGGCATTTTCTAAATAATGTGCATGTGAAATTTGGAAACGATGTTGACTTTTATACGTGTGAATTGACGTGTTAGTGGTATTTTAGTGGCTGCACGGGCTCCGCCCACTCCCCCGTTCTTATGTATGTATTATAGGGGTAGTTCTTTTATTTTATAAGATTATATTTTATATTCCTTACTTACCCAACTTTTTAGCCACTTTCATGAGCGCGTGAAAGTCTTCCATAGTTCCATACTCTGGCGCAATCTCCCGGTAGTCGGCGATATCGTAGCCGAAGTCGTACATGGGCGAGAGGAAGATAGGTGACAACCATATTGCGTCAACTCCAGTTTCTTTCAAGTACGGAAGCTTCTCTGTTATACCTGTAGCAAAAGCTATAATTTAATTATGGACATAATGATGCTGATGATGTTATCTTGAAGGAACAAGGCGACATAATTCGGATTTTATCAGGAACTCAACTGTATGACGCGAAGTGACCAAAACAATTGGCGCATGACATATAAGACGTCATTAGAACTAGGGAGGGAATATTGAACGGTGATTTGTCTCTTGGAAGCGGGGATAGAGGCGGGGGCCACTAAACAGTGGGCTTCTGATCGTCATAATGAAGTCAATCTCAGTTTTTGTTAAACCGTCTGGGCGTGACCAGATCCACTCTGTGGGGCCGCTTCTTAAAAAAGAGTTCATCATAACGAATCCCTCTTTCTTCATGAAGCTGGTCAGCTACTGGCTTCTTGGGGTCTCTGTGGAATCTCAAATTTCCCTACCTTCAGCTCACCGTTTTTTTTTTGTGCCTAATTTTGCGTTAAAGTCTTCTATTAACACCGTATAGTGGGTTTTGAGGAATGATTCGACTTGACCGCAGTCTTGTCATGCGCCTAATTGTTTTGGTCAAGTAAGAACAAATTAAAGTACCATGATATGTGTTTAAAAGAACCAGTACGGTGACAAGCAGCAACATCAAAGATGCGCGCCGTCTGCAACTGCGAATGTTATGTCTGTCAAGAGTGGCGATCAGGGTTCATTCTCTCTATAACGTGACGGGACGGGCCATGTCCAGAAAAAGACTTATACCGGCTGATGAAGAAGATGAATATGTCAGAATACACCGATAGGGCAAATGAAACAGAAATTGGGCAGCAATATCTTTCTTTTTTTTTATAGGTAAAGAAAAGGAGGCTTAAAAAATGATTGCCACGTCTTTTTAAGTAGAGAGGTTTAAAACACGTTCTGATAACAGCTCAAAATAATTATAAGCTGCGGTTGCCAACCCGCTTGCCAAGCATGGTAACTATGGCAAAATCCCCCCAAGGCAATCTATGAGGGAGAACCATGTTCAGCAGTGGTCTTTTATAGGCTGTAATGTATGGTTGAATGAATGAACCACCGAGACACTGATTGGTCCGGTTACGATGGGTAATACCCGCTTTTGAATCGGTTCCAGTAGGTAATTTCCGGGTTTATACGTGGTAGAGCCATGCTGCAGTTATATTAGTTGTATAGTTGTAGCACGAATGGGTCGGCTCGACCGGAGAAGGCTCACGCTCTAACAGAATACAAGCGTAAAATAGCAGCTTAATGCTGCAGTGTTTCGTATGGTGAGTGTAGAGAACCAGCGACCCTTTTTTACTGGAAAGGAGGCATTGCATTTTAGTCCTTACGGGTGACAACAAGTGGAAATTAAAGGCGTGATGTGTGTTAGTGAACTGCCATTGTTTTCTGATTTTTTTGTGATACATCTCATTGTGTGATGGACTTGGGTATGTCATGCTGGAAATGGGCAAGTAAAAATAAATATCGATTTATATCGTATGGATATTTTAATAAAAGTATCGAACAGTATCGATATATATCACGTGATAAATATCGATATATCATGTTTTGCACGATGTAGTAGGATAAGTCCCAAAATTTAATCACTGGAAGGTTGGATAACAAAAAAAAACGACAGCAGCACATGAATGCTTTTGTTCCTTAATGTGATGTCGATTAATATAACATTTTAAAATATATATAGAAATTGATACTTGATATCGAATTGGTGTGCGATAATAGTGAAAATATTAATATTTATTTATATTAGGCAATTGATTCTAACTTTCATACATTTTTTATAGAATAAGGGTGACATACGAGCACACAGTCCACCTGATGTTAAGTGGTTGCTGTTGCCCATAGACATCTACATCTACCCTCAAATACGAATCAAAATGCAGATGTGGAATGTCTCATTTCCAGTAAAAGGGTCTCCGGTTCTCTTCACTCACCACACGAAACACAGCAGCATTAAGCTGCTATTTTACGTTCGTATTCTGTAAGAGCGTGGTCCTACCCCGGTCGAGCCGAGTCATTCATGCAACAATTATAATATAGTTGAAGAGTTACTCTACCACGTGTAAATAATAAATTTTTATATTAAATTCTCTTAATTTTTATTAGTTTTCATTCAATACTTAAAAATACCATTACATATGTATTTAATAGCAATATCACCACACTCATAAATTAAACATTATCATATATATTACATAATAATATTTAATGTAAGATTATGGTGATATAACATAATATTATGTACTTAATTGCTCAGTAGTAGTGCTGACCGGTTTATTTATAAAATATCATACAGCCAAATCTTCTACTAAGTGAGTAGATTTGGCACTCTAATTGACTATTTTGTTTTAAATAATTTCAGTAAATAAGTTTTAGTATAATTAAGTTGCTATCCCGAATAAGTAAACGAAAAAAAAAGTTTTTTTACGTGGTAGAGCCACGCTGCAGCTATATTACTAGTATGGTTGTAGCACGAATGGGTCGGCTCGACCGGGACAGAACCACGCTCTCACAGAATACCAGCGTCAAATAGCAGTTAATGCTGCTGTGTTTCGTATGGTGAGTGTAGAGAACCGGAGACCCTTTTTACTGGAAACGAGGCATTCCATCTTAGTCCTCAAGGCACACAACACATCTGCATTTTGATTCGCAAACGTGGACTGTTAACCATCAGGTGGACTGTGTGCTCGCTTGTCACCTTTTTCTATAAAAAAAAAGTAAATAAAAAGGCTTGCATATTGGATAATTTTATGTCATCTGGTACTTCAAAAAACTGTTTGAAAAAATATTGGTTATCACGCAACCAATGAGCGTAAGATGCAGCACAGATGGGTCAACTCGACCGGGGAAGGCCCACTCTCGCACAGAAAACCATCGTAAAATAGCAGCATAATGTTTCTGTTTCGTATTGCGAGTAGAGTGAGAGTGTAGCGGGACTGAGTGCCGCCTGAGTGTGCTGAGAGTCGACACAATAGAAAGCTAGGAAGACATCATCATTGTGTTTAAATTCTGTCGGATGAAAGCATTTAAAAAAGTATAGCTCAGAGGATCAGCTATTTCCAAATACGCAAGCCAACAGAGTTCGATCGCCGTCCGCATCACCGAATATCCTGATCGTAGTTTTAGGTGATGATTTATAAGTGTTTTTTTAAGTGACGTACCTATTGATAATTGGTTTATCTGATTTATATTGGGTGCGTTTGGCAGAAAAAAGCGCTAGCAAGCGCTTGTAAGCAAAATGGCGATCGTAAGCGGTAAGCGCTGTCAAATCGTAAGTAGCTATTTTCCTCTAGGACACGATGTTAGTTTTAACCGGGTAAACTAACCTAATTTAAACATATGTTTGTGAAGTATTCATATTAAAAAATTACCAATCATGAATTTTTAATAACATGTATATGTCTATTCATGTCATTATATTACTTAAAACTAATATTGCAAAAAAAACATCTTATAAACTCTATTTCAAAACAAACAAATTAAATAAGCAAAATGGCGGATTGTGTCAGCGCTACTGAAGTAGCAATCGTGTCCTGGCCGAAAACTATTTTAGCGCTAGTAAGCGCTTGCTAGCGCTTTTTTCTGCCAAACGCACCCATTGTGAATTGATAAATGGTATTTTTCTATGAAGGTAAATATCGTAATTAAATCGGCATGTATGAGAAATTAAGAAAAAGGTCGTGTGAAGTCCGTCAATATACATTGGTGCTACGTGGAGGACTTATCCTGCGCAAAAACCTCAGAAGCAGGAGGAGGTCTGCGTCCAGTTGTGATACAGTTTTAAAACTATTAACAATTTAGTTGTTAATATTATGCTATTCATAAATTGCGTTCAATTACTAATCAGTTTCACGAAGGCTGTTTAAGTGGATCATGAAGATAATATTTAACGAACAAAAAAAGGTTGTGTAAAACTGTAAAACCATATTATATTGTAATAATGTTTTATTTATTCATAAATGTTTAATAATGGCCAGTACTGATTTTTTCAGTATTCAATTTTTTTTAGTTTACGTAAATTTGAACTTGAACTAAATAAGTATATGAGTTGAAAAAACACACGCAAACAGTAGTTGGGGATATAGGTGTGTACAGTTGTAAAATAACAAAAATGTACAAACGAATTCAGTATAAATAAAATGAGAACAGCATCAATGTAGTCGAAGTTAGTTAAATACGCATTATTAAGGATGACTCAAAAACTACTGGTCAGATCTTGATCTTTATACGGGACCACACAAGAAGCATCAGCTTTTAAAAAAAAGACATCATCCAAATCGGTTCACCTAGAAAAAGTTCTGAGGTAACAAACACAACAGACAGTTCAAAAAAACAGTCGAATTGAGAATCTCCTCCTTTTTTTAATCGGTTGAAAATCCCAAAATACAGAAATTTAATGTATACGGTTTTATCGTATATATAGATGCAGCGATAAAAATATTAAAATTTAAAAATAAATCAGTAAATTATGTAAATATTGTTACAAAAATAAAAAAAATGTTCGTATACGATTTTTAAATATCATACCATTTAAGTCTCCAATGCCATCTCCGTTGCTGTCTTTGAAGGAACGTGGATAGATTTGATAAATAAGGGCTGATTGCCACCAATCATAATCGACCGCACTCGCGGCAGATGCAAAGATAAGCATGAGAGCCACAAAGCGCATATCGCAACAATATCTATTACTTTTTTCTTAATTTAAATTATTCGTTTATTTTCTACGACACTCGTGATACTCGATAAAGATATTATATGCGACGAAATTTCAAAACAGTCGTCTTGACCACTCACTACGATGTTTTGCGAATAACAACTGCACTAACCGATCGGTGTTTCTTTTATAGTTTGAAGTTTAAAGTTTGAAGGTGAATTATTGTTCATATTGTCTAGACGTTTTTAAAACAATTTTGATTTCAAAGTTGTAATATCGAGAGTTTACTGGTGAAATCTGCAATTTTTTGGTAAAAATGAGTTAAAAATACACTTCGTCTTATTTTTTTTCTCAATGTTCTAGTAAAACGGAATATTTGATATGACCATTATTTATGAAGATATTTCAAAATTTTTTTTTTGTATTACCGTGTCTCCGCATGGTAAGGTTAAAAATGTCTCCGTAATATAGTTTTAAGCCTTTATTGGTTCGAGGCATTTTATTTCTGACTATGAAAACATGGTACAATTCGATAACTTATGTAACTTGATGAAACAGTTATGGATATATTTTTTAGGGTGACAAACGAGCACACAGTCCACCTGATGGTAAGTGGATGTTGTGGCCCATAGATATCATATCCATCCTCGATTAAGAATCAAAACGCAGATGCGTTTTCACTCCTGAGAACTAATATGAAATGCCTCGTTTCAAGTGACAAGGGTCTCCGGTTCTCTACACTCACCATATGAAACACAGCAGCATTGAGTTGCTATTTTACGCTGGTATTCTGCGAGAGTGTGGTCCTACCCCGGTCGAGCCGACCCATTCGTGCTACTAATATAATATAACTACATCGTGGCTCTACCACGTATAAAAAAATAATATTGTTTTTACTATAAACCAATCGCAAAATGTCATTTAGTTTTTTTTAGCAGGATAAACCGGCCGATAGATGTAGATGTCCATGGGCCACAGTATCCACTTGGTGCTACTATGCTTACACAGATGGAATGTGTGCTCGTTTGCCACCCTTATTCTATAAAAAAAAACTCAAAAGTATTACGTAAATTGTATTCTTCTTTGCTTTCTATTACTCTAGTAAGAGGAGAGATCTTGTACTTTTTAATTTATTGGTAATTATGTGAACGTACTACATTTTGTAACTATATAATAGTTGGTATTAATATATGTTTTACAGATTGAGTAGCGTGAGAGATTATTAAAAAAAAGACCTTTGAACTTGAGAAAACCAGAATTTTTAAATGGACATATTAAAAGTTACAGCATATGTACTGCCCACTGCTGAGCACAGGCATCCTATCATTCCTGAAAGGATGTGTCCGCCATACTGCCTTTGTCTTTGAAATATTTTTTTTTATTTTACAGACATGCCGATTTCCCCACGATGTATATTCCTTCAGCGCCGAGCACTTGGTAAAACAGCACTTGAAATCGCAATTAACAATTTCGTTGGTGTCGGCGGGAATTATGGACATGGAAAACCAGTTAACTGCTTGACCTTTCGCGCTTTTTTAATTTTCTGCCAGTTATTATTAAAACGCCTTTTTTCTTTTAAATAGTTCTACCTTAATAACCAAGTTATTATTAAAAGTTATTATCAACGTTGCAAGGTGTCTGTAATAGTTATGTGTTTTCACTTTTGGAAGCAGTTTTATATAAGTATTTAGGTAACTGGTTTTATACGTACCAGTAAACCCTCGATATGTTAAAAATAAATACCACAAGAAATGGACATTTCGCAAATTACGTATTTTCTAAAGACATTAGCAAAATTATAACGTTACAGAAGACACTGACTCCACTGTATGATTGTTATTGCTGGTCAAACAAAGGCGTTATACTTTCAGTCAACGGACATTGTTTTTGACCATGCTATATAAGCATCTATATAAGGCGGTAGGGTTTATGATACGGATGAAAGACCTTTCCAGGTCAAAGCTAGTCTTAGGTGGTGTCTCTATTTTCTGGATGTTAGCGCTGTTAGTCTATACGACTCTTACAGCTTCATCTGACTCAGGGCTTGCAGGCCGCGAGCTAATTAAAAAAGGGAAAGGCAATGAGGTGAGGATGATGATGAGTGGTTTATGATTTGATAATGTTACCAATCATCATGTCGCCTTTTTAGGCGTTTCTTGAGCTATCTAACCGCAGTCCGAGAGAAGGAGTGCGGACCCCTGTCTCTGACTGCTCAGCTCGTGTCGGACGATGGTCTGGGCGGTGAAAACCGCCCAGGAACGCGGGTGTACGGTGTGAACGCGGTGTGAGCTGGAACGCGTCGTGCCCGTCTGCGGGTGCGACGCGCCTCATTCGTTATCCTAGTAGTGTTTGTCCCATTTAGTGTGGGTGTAGTGTCATTGTGTGATGTGCCTGCGACGTTTGGGTCGACTGGATCGAGCGGTTGCAGGTGGTGTTTAGTGTGTAGGCACTTAGGTTTCTCAGTGAGTCCCACATAATGCTCTGAGAAAACCACGCAGCCGGCTGCGTGGTTTTCTCAGAGCATTCAGCACCTCCCTCCTCCGTTTCCCGGAGGGTAACCCTATACTTTGCTTCTGGGCGCAAAAAAAAATTTTGGATTAGAATGCATTATAGTACTGATCGTAGTCACGTAATCACCTTTAAGTAGGTCAGTATTGCACTGATTAGTTTTAATACATATTTGTAACGTAACCAATTGCCACACATGGTCAGTTCAACTGATCATTTCAAACTAAAACTGTTGATATTTTTTTTAAATATTGAGTTTTCGATATATCGATAATTATAAATATATCAATATCGAAGTTTTAAATATAGGTTTATCTATCGATATATTTTAAAAAAGCTATTTAAAAAAATATCAACAATTTTTATAAATCATAAGGCGGGGTAAGATATGATTTAATGAAAGTGGGTAAGCAAAGTGAATATTAATAGTTGATACTGTTACTTAAAGAAGTTAGTACTCATTCGTATTTATTATTATTTTTATTATAATTTAACACTTTAGAGAGTATTCAGAGGAATTTTAAATTCTTTTGCAACATCACTTTTATTCTCACCTCCCTCTACTTTTTCGATTAACTTCTTCTTATCAGCAATCGTCAAGCATTTAATACTTTTTAGGCCTCATAACCAACACAAAGTTTTAATCTGTATACAACCAAACCAACGAAAGAGTAACGGTAACTGAAACATAACTAACTAAAAAAACCAATTCGTGCGGAAGTGTGTGTCAAACTAATCATAACAAAAACAAAGGCTCACATAGCAAAAAAAAATTTTGAACTTGTCTCAAAATGTACTTATAATTTTTCTGTCCTATCTCTCTGCAACTTTGAATTGTCGAGTGATTGACGCCGATGAGTTTTTTTGTTACGTAGCAATGATTTATTCGTTCGAAATTCGAATTACCAAGTGCATAAAAATGTACAACAAGTGTAACAAGTGTTTTGTTTTTCATTTTACAAATATGAAACGGATACCTACACAGATTTTGCAAGCGCTCGAATTTATTATGGAGATCCTCTGTAGCATCCATAGATATAGTTCAGTTTATGCTAAATCTATGGTAGCATTAAAATAAAAAGCCTCAGCATACCTAATCAAGCAGAAACAGTATGAGAGTGAGCGCGAGTGAAGACATTTAAGTGAATGCAAGCTAAAGTGGACCTTACGAGTAACCTCAGCGATATACAGGGTGTTTGGTGGGTGGTCCGACAAACTGAAATGGGAGATAGATGGGTTCATTAGAAGCATATTTTCTTAGTAAATTTTTTTTTCTATCTCTTACCATTTTTTTTTTAATTGAATTTTTAAATTTTTTTTGTAATTATCCCAATTTTCTAGTATTTTGGTTCAATAACTTCTACTATTTCTAGTTTTCTACCATGTTTTTTTATTTTCCCTAAGAAATATATTTTTTTTTAAATTAAAAGAAAGATTGAAAGCCTAAAAGGCATAAGAAAAAATACTTACGACACATTGAAAGTGAACAAACGAGAAAAAAAATTGTAAGCCCTTAAGTTTCCAGCCCCTTAAAAAAATAAATAAATATGTTGAGTAATTTCAAATGGCCATAAAAAAAATTCTATTTCATCCTCTTTCTATCGGTATATCACATGTTACATAAAACTTTAAATTATCAACAAAATTATTGATAATCAAATGTGAGGACGGGGGAATTAAAATATTACAAGTTCCGTAAAAATTGCCAGGGCACCCTAAACTGGTTTTTACCCGTGTAAATATTTTTATGGTTTCATTTATGCGTGTGCGAGCCAGGTAGATGTTGTCTCTTTCTGGTGGTACAGGCGAAGTTACGACGCGCGGATCAGCTACCTGCTTCTGTTGTTATTTAATTTAGTCGTGATTTGACTGTCTCTGAAGCTACTTGCGAGTTCTTTTTCGACATTCATTGTTGAACAGTTTCGTTGAGTTTAGTTTTTGTTTCGTTGATTGTTAAGTTTTTGTTTGTTATTTGTTTCTGTTTTCGGACGGTAGTGTTCAAACTTAATTCAAAACACTGCAGTGATTATGGCTCAACGCACTTATTTTACTAACCAGGAATACGCTGATATGCTTTTGGTTTATGGCCGGGCCCTAAATAACGGCCACAGAGCACGTAGACTTTATGGAGAGCTGTATCCCACGAGAAGGTTGCCTAGCCATGATACGTTTGCAAATACTTATAGAAGGCTACGTGAAACTGGCAAATTGCAACACAGGGAACCAGGAGTACGTGGAAGACCACTTGATGTTGCTGTGGATGAGCGTATCTTGGCGGCTTTTGACGATGATCCCACTATAAGCATTAGAAAAGTAGCGACTGAACTCGGCTTTTCTGTATGGAAAGTGTGGTCGGTTCTCCGCAACCATTGCAAGCACCCATTTCACCTCACCCCAGTGCAAGGTACTTATTATTTCTTCTTTTTATAAAATTACTGTTTATCTTATACATTATTAATTATTTCATACATTTTAAAGTGAGTAAAGTAACTTACACTATTTTTTGT